CTTTGAGCCTTCTTTATGATTCTGCCCAGCCCCCTTTTCCTGAATCACCTCACAATCTCCACAGGGACATTCTCCCTTGCTGCAATGAACAATGGGCCTGATTTTATTCAGCTGCAAGTGTACTCCTGGTCGTCCTTGACTGCAGGGTACAAGCATTAATTGAAATCATCACTTTGAAAATGTTCAGAAATATTTACCTACTTTGAAAATATGAATGCTTGGTTGGACTCGAGCATCCTTCCCAGCGTGAGCGTGTACATTAATAATATGTACAAGTCGTTAGGGTGGCATTATTCATAAGAGGAAAACCACTTTAACCCAAATGTCCAACATCAGTAGGATGAATGGGTCGTGTGCTGTGCCATGTCCACCATGAAAAGGAACACATTGCTGTTCCTACATCAGTGTGTCAATAAAATGATGTTGGACATTAAAGTAGACCAGTGTGAAAGACTGTATATTTTAATTCCTCAGTTTGTATCAGTTTCAAAAACAGGCAAAATTGATTAATGAATGGGAAGTCAAAACACCGGTTATTTGGAAGGAAGGAAAGGGGAGCTTGTGGGAAGCCAATGACAGTATACTACTTGTCGTGGGTGGCGGTTACACAGTGCACTTAGCTTGCAATAACAAACCCAGCCATGTGCTTAGACATTACGTGATTGTTGGGGTGCATGTTAAGGATAATTATTAGGTTAGCTTCCAATTATTTATGGATGTTTTATAATGAAATCCCTGATTGACTACACAATGTATCTGCTTAATAGATTTTATTGGTGCCTCAAGTGCTGAGCACCAGAGAAACACAAGAGTTAGTTACCATGTGACACAAGGCCCACCCTTCATGGAAATTCTCCTTGCAGTCAGTCAGAGGCCTATAGAGAAAGATGCACAGATGATGAAGCAGAGAAGAAAGAAAGGAAAAGAAAACCAGCTTTGGGGGCTGGGGCTGCTCAACCTCCTGAGAGATTATGCACATTCCATGCAAAAGGAAAGATTAAAAGGATGTGTTGAATGGTGACAAACCCTGATCCCAGTGTCCTTCATGGGGTGTTGATGTGGCAATATGCCACATATTCTCACTTTCAAACTTACTGCTAAACTATTTAACAGCTTTAAAACGCATACCTATACCACAATCCTTTAATAAAAAATAGATTTATTTTAAAACTTAATTTTCTTGGTCATTTTTCATCTTGGTTTGTATGGGATTAGATGTGGGAAGGGTAAGTAGTTATCTCTCCCAGTCCAGTTTTACAAACATCTCAGCCACTTAGGATCTTTTGTTTGTTTGTTTGTTTTATTTTTGAGACAGGATCTCTCTGTGTACCCTCCCTCAACTGTACCAGAACTCACTCTGTAGACCAGGTTGGCCTTGAACTCACAGAGTTCTGCTTGACTCTGCCTACCAAGTGTGGGATTAAAAGCACAGGCCATCACACCCAGTTAAGGATCTTACCACCTCTTCTTTTGCTCCCTTCAACAGGTGCTGGAGCCAAAACACCTTGATTGACACTCTGACCCAGCAGACAAGTAGGAAAGAGAGATCCACACTGAACTTGAGTTCGATGAGTCAGAGTTCAAACTCAGACAATCACAAGTCAGGCTGTAACCATAGCTTCCTGCTTATTCTGTGACCTTGGGTGCATCCTGAATGTGGTCTCCACATTCCAACCTTAGAAATGGTGTGAGGGTCCCTCTCAAGGGCCATCTTGATGACACCTGGATTCCGGGCATGCTTATAGTGGCCTATCCTGATTAGATTAACTAAGGCGAAGACCACACTGTGGGCGCATCATTCCCTCAGCTGGGATACTGCCCTGCATAAAACGGTCATTCAGTCTGGGCTTCTTGACTGTGGGTGTAATGTGCCCAGCTTCCTAAGCCCTTGCCCCTGTGGCTTTCCCTGCAATGGTGGACTACAACCTGAAACAGTGGGCCAAGAGAAACCCCTCCTTCCTAAATTGTTTTGCTGAGGTTTTTCATCAAAGTAACAGAAGGAAGTAGGACAAAGGAAGGCAATAAAAATGGGGTCTTCCCCATGGAGTGTCTTCCCCATGGGGTTATGGGACCCAGTGAGACAGTGTGAGAAGGGGAACGTTCAGCTTAGCACACCACATGTGATTCCAAGGCTGTGCCTCTGTCTGGATTATACCCCCTTCTCTCACCTCCATGCTTCTCCATACCATCTGAACACAAGTCAAGGCCTCTATTCAGCACAGTAATGGAAACTTACACCACTTGTGCTGAGGCAGCATTCAGCTGCAGATAAAAGAACACTGGTTCACACTGGACTAAGTGAATGGTTATTTAGAGATTCTTAATACTATAAAGCTTGAGGAAAGGAAGCCCCCTCCTCTCTGTCTCTGTCTCTCTCTCTCACACCCACACACCCACACATACACACACACTTCCTGCCTGTCCTCTTGCTTGCCTCATACTCTGTCCAGGGTGATGATGACCACCTCCCAACTTGTTGGTTTGCCCATACTGGAGGAAAGAGAGTCCTCATTCCCAACAATTCTACCAAAATGGTAGGTTTTTCAATGGACCATCTAGGGTATGTAAAGGAGGACAGAAGGATACTTGGAGCTGACTGGAAGGAGTCAAACCAACCTGGTGCAAGTAGGACTGGAGCAGAGGGGTTCCCCCAAAAAAATTGACACCCCCGTACCTCCCACTCCAGGCAATGTCTACTGAGCGGAAGTCACATTTTCTCCCACAGCCTCTGAAATGAAAAGGCTTCAAGCAAGAATTCCCACTGACTGAGTGGACTTAGCAGAACACAGGGCCGCGGTTGGGGAGCCATGACGGGCAACTCCCTAATCATATTGATGAGGAGTGTGAGCCTCAGAGGTGGGAAGAGAGTCTGGTGAAATGAAGATTAGAGGCAGAAGCAACCACAACAAAAACAAACCAATGACAGCAGCAAGCCAAGAACAACTCAATTGATATTATTTGGTCCAGGGCAATGGTCTCCCCATCTTTATTTTCCCCTTTCTATTGCAGGTGACTAACCACTGCCTCTGCCTCTCTTTTAAAAGAGCCTGTCTCACTATGGTAGGAGAGCAAGGACTCAAAGGCTACTTAAGGAGCAACATGGGAAAGAAATCAGCTTGCAGGGAAGAGTGGAAGCCATCCTCAGCCCAGCATCATCTAACTAAAAAGCATGCAGGAAAACAGGATGGGGAGAGGAGAATTATAAAAACCACACACAGTTGTGCCCAGATGCTTTCAGGGCCCTTTCCTCTGTTCACTTCCGTTCTTGGAGAGCTTCTTCCTCGCTGATGAGATCTATCCCGATCCCATGCCTATCTCAAAGGCATTGCTTTCCATTTCCTCCGGGGTCTGCTGGGATTTTTACCTAACAGGTACTATTTTCTTTTAAATTCTAATAAAATTATCCTTGAGTTTTCTGTTGATTTTTATTAATGAGACTAAGGAACCCATAAGGAAACCCCAGTTTCTCCAGTAGCATTGTCTATGGCCACAAACAACCTGAACTCACTTAAGTGCATCTGACCTTAGGACCCAAGCCTTGGTTGGGTCTGGTTAGTACTTGGCTAGGAGCAAAGACTATCTCCATCAGAGCATTGGTGGCGCTCAGCAGCCACAGAGAGCTGAATGATTCCTAGACAAGGAATTCCTATTTCAGAGGGTTAAAGACCACTCCCTACAAGCCTAGCAACATCCTCCATGCCCAGTGTACACCATTCACGGAAGCCACCAGGGACTGCGACAAGGAGAAGAAACTGCCTTGACTTCAGTTTTTTATTATCACTCCCTATGAGCGGAGAAACATGACCTGCCTTCAAGGGCATCATTGGTGGGTTTGGGACTTTGAACTTTCACTCACATATTTGGCCAAAGCCACCATCATAAAGGACCCATTGCAGGGTGGAGGGGAGGACCTCACCATCAAGGGCCTCTGGAAGAGAAAAGAGACTTCGATTTCCTGCCCAGTGACGTTCAGTCTGGGGTGAACTTTTGGCTTTAGGAATCCATTCCAGTTTAACTTATATGAGTTTAACTAAGAGGAAGGGACGGGGAGAATAAATTAAACGATGTGGATGATTCTGCAGTTTTTCACTGAACCAGTGCCTGTCCCAGGTGCGCTGTGAGTGGAGGTATAAATCCGCAGGCGGCACCTTCATCTAGTGCTCCAACCATGACAGCACAATTGGATTTAATGCTGGCAGGAAAACTGCCCGGCTCGGACTTATTAAGAAATACGATGGTGCGCCTCCGACAGAATTCAGAGGTGATTCTGGCTACACACGACGCTTACCCTAAGTTCTGGCTTCAGAAGCTCTGCAGGTGAGGTGTCTCACCATGCAGAGCACAAAGCAAAGGCCGCAGCAGCGGCAGCATTAGCAGCTCAGAGCAACAGTTAGCACTCCTGCAGCCACGCTCTAAACAGTGTTAGCTCTGAGGCACTTAATACTCCGAAAAACCCTAAGAAGTCAGAAGGCAGGCGTTCACATAATCCACACATCTCAAGCCACCCAGTTCGGAAGTGGCAGTAGCCAGGGTATTCAGCTGTGGATGCCTGTGTGGTTTTCCACACTTCGGGTTAGGCTTCCTGTGTCAAGGTCAGGACAGCAGGGGGGGGGGTGTCTTAGCTTTTGAGCCAAAGAAAGGCAAATTTGCCCTGCAGAAATTTGCGGCATCCTTTCTACCTTCTACAAAAGCCCTGGGTCTCTAGGAATAGATGTTATGGTAGATTATGCTGGAAAAAAAAGAAAGAAAGAAAGAAAGAAAGAAAGAAAGAAAGAAAGAAAGAAAGAAAGAAAGAAAGAAAGAAAGAAAGAAAGAAAGAAAAGGCTTCTTGGGGTTTTAGGAACTGTTTGCACTGAGGGAGTTGCTGCGAACGCAGGTCTACCTCTGTACCCAGAAAACTCCTCTGCTGCTAGAAGGTTACAGCTAACACCTACCCGCCTACGGGGGCGTGGCCTCGTGGACTATTTACCAGGATGCGGAAGCATGTCCAGCTCCCTTCCTTCCTCTCTCTGCTTGCTCCTGGACCCCATTCTGGCTGTTCGGTTTGCTTTTGGATCTGATCTTCGTCCATCGTTCAAGCAGACCATCCTGACCTTGTAAGTCTACCCCGTAATAAACCTGTTTTCTTTGTTCTGAGCTAGTGTGATCTGATCACTTCCTCCTTCACTCCCCTGTTGAAATCCTACCTCCCAGTGTGATGGTATTGGGAGGTGAGGTGGGAGGTGAGGTGGGAGGCGATGAGGTCACAGGGGAAGGGTTCTGGGGAGTGACTATCCTTACAAGGAGATAGGAGGCGCTTCTTCCTCCTCAGGATGCTCCCCACAAAAGCACACAAAGACAGCAGTGAACAAACCAGGAAGTAGATCCTCACTGATACCTGGCTGCTTTGCCTTTCCATCTTGGACTTCCCTCCAGAACTCTGAAAAGTGAATGTTTGAGATTCACCATCAACTGCAATTGCAACAGGCTTTACCAACTGAAGATGGGAAATGGATCTTCGCTCAACAAAATAAGGATGGAGCGCTTCGAGATGCCCACGAACAAAGACGGTAGTAGTAGGGGTGGCTGGTGGTACCCGAACAGTTTAGGAGCCCTGAGAACCACAGTACCTCAGGGCTAGGACAGTAAATGGTGGCCAATGCAGGCCAGAGACAGGACTGCTGCCTGAAACTGTGCCAAGTGACTTTAGGAGCTGGCTGGCTCCAGGAAGAGAAGCCAGGAGAGGACAGTACTGAATTTTATTCCTCCTCCAGATACAACTGGATTTACAGACCTGAAAGGATGTGGGCGGTCTCACTCTGTGGATTGTGGGATAAAATGCTGCCTGCTGCTCAGACAAGGAACAAAGACTGCAGCTGGGGACAGGAGCTGACCTTGCTAAGGAAGCTACTGCTTGAAGGTTGTGAGGAGGTGAGAGAGGTTTCAAAACAAATTAGGTGTTCATATAGATAACATTCTTGAACAAGCCACGATAAGGGAACAAAGGCAAGGCATATCCTTGGCTGACTAGAGATAGGAGAATAAAGAAGAAATCCCCATGGTGGGTAGCTCCAGAGAGGGTGGTGGGCAAGGAGGGGGCCTCGTTAAGACAGAGAAAAAGATAAGAGGGGGCAAAAGGCCCTAAGTATGAATAAAGGGAGTGTTGCTATACAGCCTGCTTACTTGACCTATCTTCTTCCCCTACCCCATCCTCCTGTTATGTCATCCTCACCTCTATAAACAAAACTGGTTGATGGTCTGGTGGGCAGTGTAGAACACGGATGGAGAGTTCGCTTTCACGGGCTTATGGCTGACTTCAGAGGGTATAATGTAAATTGCTTCCTAACAGGTTTCTTGCCTTCTAGGGTGGGAAGGCAAGAGAAGGTGAACAGAGAGGCCGACTGGGGCTCAACCACACAAGGAAACATCTGCCCAAAGGGGAGGTAGAGAATATGCTCCCTTGAAGCTTTTTCCAAGAAGCCAGACTGAAGAGTTCTCAATTCCTGCAGCGTTGGTTAGAACTTGAGAAACACGCGGCCTTGACTTGGTTGTAGAGAAGAAGAATTGAGCTCAGAGTTAAAGCAGCTATAGTCTCGTGTAAAAGACAAGACCCACGTGGATTGCACCGACTTCTCTATAATTTAACCGTCCCATAGAAACGCTCAAGAATATTTATAGGAACACAAACACTGTTGACCCAGAACTCTTTTTAAATCTTATTAAAATCAAAGGCAAAACAAAGACTTTTACAGACGTGTTAAGATCTGAAATAATGTATCACTAGCAGACCTATAATACAAGGAATATTAAAGGAGTCCTTAGGGCAGGAGGAATTATTCCAGATGTAAAGCTGGCTTGAGAGAAAGGGAGAAAATTCATTAGAAACTGTAACTGCCTGGGTAAATACAGTGACTTTTTTTCCCATATTATTCAATTGTCTTACTTAAAACTATAAAAGATATCAACTTTATATATGGATATATGCAGATTTATGTAAAATTATAAGCCCTGAAGAAACCAATAAAATAACACAACAGAGTTGCACCTAATAAACCCCCCTGTGGAGGAGAAAAAGGCAGAAAAAAGGCAAGCGACTAGCCAAGGACAGCTGAGAGAGGAGGAAACAGGCAGCATGCCTTGGATCATTGAAGCTCAAAACGGCCCCTTCACGGTGACAGTGGTCAGCTCTTCAAGAGCAGAAAACAAGTCCGTGTCTTCACACATCCAGCCGCCCCCTCGAAACACTCAACTCCCAAAGGGGCAGAATTGAAAAGAAAGAGAAAAGAGAGCATTTTTGTGAAATATCTCCACACTCCCCACTCGATAACTGACAGCCTGTGTAGACGGAAAATCAATAGGAATACGCTTAGGCATCACTCACCTATTTAGCCTAAGTGACATTTTCACAACTTTTAATACCACAGAACGTACATTCTTCCCCATGCCCATTGGCCATTTACCCAAAAGAATCATAATATAGGCCATAAAGCAAGGGTCCTCAAATGTATGAGAATTCACGTTACACACTGTACACACACATACACAGCACATTTTCTTGCAAAGTAGAGTTTCATTATAAACCAATAATAAAAAGATATGGAGGAGAGCCTTCCAATGTGACAAAACTAAAGGACACATTTCTGAGGAAGCCATGAGAAAAGAAAGCAAATAGCAGTGAGAAGGTAATTTGAATGGAATGAAAAGGAAAACACGATTCATCAAAATTTGTCGAATTCAGCTGAAATGCTAGGTGTGAGTGGGAGAGTAGACCTGGAAGGAACGTACAACGAAAATGCGAACGTCGCAAATTAATGACCTCAGCTCTCACCATTAGAAATTTGGGGGGGGGGGGGACTAAATAAACAGGAAAAAAAAATAAGCACCAGGGTGGAAATCAATTAATTAGAAAATAGAGAATAATGGGAAACTGACAAAGGCAGGCAGAAAGAGCACCCCCCCAGAACAGTAACACTGATAAGCCCCATGAGAAACCAACATCCAAATTTCCAGTATCAGAAATAATAGATGGTTTAGCTGAAGATTCTGAAATATAGTCCAAAGATAATGCGAAAATATTATGACCAAATCTATGTCAATACATTTGACAGTTTAGATGGAATGAACAAATCACTCAGCAGACACGAGCTGCAAGACAGGCTGAATCACCTTGATGGTCCTACATCAATTAAGTCGAATGCATTGTTAAAAACTGTCACAGAGAAAATTCTGGGCTCAGACAACTGCACTGGGAACCCTACCAAATGCGAAAGGGAAGAATCGCAGGGATTGTAGACAGTCTTCCAGGGAACCCTAAACAAAGGACTCCTTCTGTGAGGGGTACCCTAAGACAGAAGAGCGAGGATGGAGAAAGGAAAGATCAGAAGAAAAGACAGTGAGGTGAAAGAGAAACAACAGGCTCAAACTCAAGTTTTAACAAATTTGGGGCAAATTTATGTCTCAAACTCCCCATCCCAGGAATAGAAGTCTGGTTTGGCAGCTCAAAAGTCGGTTACCTGTGCTACAGACAGAGCTCAAAAGAAAACCAGAGGATCATTTCAAGTGATAGGGCAAAAAGCAGTCAACAAAACTTCAACACCTACTTTTCTCATTTTAAACAAGTACTCAGCAAGGACCATAAGAGAATTCTCCAACCAGACAACTCTCACCATTTCCATTAAACAGTCACTGAGTTTCCAGGCACCAAAATAAGACAAGAAAATTAAAGAAATTCAAACTGAGAAAAGGTCTTCTTTATTGACAAGTGACATGGTTATCCACGTAAAACAAACCAGCAAACTCCAACAGAATCAACACAAATAAGTGTTAGAACTTCGGCAAAACTTTTATGATGACTCAGGATTCAAGACCAACATGTTTACACTGAAATCAGACTTTCAGAAACTGATACCTAGATTCAATCCATTCTCCAGAAAATTCCAGAGTAATCTGCAGATATTTGCTGCTGAGTCTGAAGTTAATTGGCATGGCCTGTGGATATATCCCAATTGCAAAGAGCTTGCCTAAAACCCATCTACACATAGCCAAAATAGCAGTTGAATGAGAAGAAAATGTTAAAAAATATATATATACACTTTATGGAACCAGAAAGATGGTGCCTGCTGCCAAACCTGACAACCTGTGACTCTTTGTTCTTCACGTGTTAAGTGGCCAAGACTGCTCTTCCATGGGACCCAAGCTTGGTTAGCAGAACTCACACCAGGTGGATCACAGGAATCACCTGTAACTCCAGCTCCAGGGGAATCAATATCGTCTTCTGGCCTCCGTGAGTACTCGAATGCATGTGTATACACACACACACACACACACACCACATACACACACAAAGTAGAGAGAGACAGACAGACACAGATAGATAGATAGATAGATAGATAGATAGATAGATAGATAGACAGACAGACAGACAGACAGACAGACAGGATGAGAGAGAGAGAGGTGGGTGGATGATAGATAGATAGATAGATAGATAGATAGATAGATAGATAGATAGATAGATAGATGATAGATATGTAGATGATAGATACATAGATGATAGATAGATAGATAGATAGATAGATAGATAGATAGATAGATAGATAGATAGTAGGTAGATAGATAGAAGGTAGGCAGGTGGTTAGATAGATAGTAGGTAGATAGATAGTAAGTAGGTGGTTAGATAGATAGATAGATAGATAGATAGATAGATAGATAGATAGATAGATAGATAGTAGGTAGATAGATAGCTTAGAGTTCACCCAATATATGAGTAACATGTCACTAAGTCCCTATGAGAGCTGGAGGCACCTGGGAACTATTGGGTAGTGTTCTGAGTGAACACAGCAGGCCCTGCATATTCACCATAGATGACTTTAATGGTAACAAAGTAGGAACTGTCTGAATTGTCAATGTTTTATATAAGACATGCTTAGATAAAAAATGGCTGAAATTAAGTTATTCAATGACTAAAAGCCATGGGAATGGTTGAGTGGCCATGTAGTCATTAATAAGGAAAGATGTCAATATACCCCCTTGGAAGAAGAAGCTCATTCAAAATTCTATTGTTTTAGTTGGATCATTTTCCTTTATCTACTAAGTTGCTAATTTTATATTGTGTGTGTATGTGCACGGTGTTTGTTGGGGGACTGTGTATCCCAGGAGTCATGTGAAGCTCAGATGGCAATCGTGTGGAGTCATCTCTCCACCTCGACATAGGCTCTGGAAATTAAGGGTGGACCCCTGGTCAACAAGCTGGCATAGCAAGCTTCTTTGCCTCCTGAGCCATCTTGCCGACCCAGATATATTTTTTAACGCATCGACTCATGAGAAATTTAGAAGGGTGAACATACACAGGACATTTTTATCTCTAGATAGTAAGTTCTAATTTCTCTATGATGATCTGGCTTTCTTTGCCCTCCATTATAGATGGAAATGATTTCTACAAACACCGAGGGATGTTTTAAAGTCTTTCCTCATAATGGAAAAATGTTTTGCACTAGGCGCTTGAGAATAAAAATACTGTGTCAGCCAGTGAAGTGGTTGAGCCTGTCAAAGCACTTGCCATGAACCTTGACAAGCTGAGTTCAATCCCCGGGTCCTGTGTAAAGGTGGAAGTAGAGAAACAGCTTTACAAGGTTTTTCTCTGACCTCCATACATGTGCCATGGCAGGCCCACGTGCACACCCATGTACACAAATAATAATATAAATAAAAATACATTTTTCAAAGCTTCACAATAAGGCTGCCACAGAAATACTGCCCTCCAGAAACCATAGCAGTAGCTAGCGAGAGGATGCCAGAAAGAACAAAAACATTCACATTCTATGGTAAACAGCAACCGCCAAGCTTAGCTTTTCAGATGCAAATCAGTGGATAGAAATATAAACCAAACCTCACACAAACGTGACAGCATGGGAGCTGGTCCCCCGCAACCTTTTATTTAAACAACATCACAAAACGGCAGCTTCCTAGGGCCAACCAGTACGAAGAGTGCGGTGACATTGCTCTTTCTGCAACCCCTTATTTTTCACGTGACATCTCTGACTCCTCCAAATCTTCCACACTCTGCAATATGCCAAGTATTGGAAGAGTAGACAGACGAGGGCATCACCCCACACACATTCCCATTCTGGTCTACCTCCATCTGTTGGCTACTGACAATCTACTTTTGAGATCAAATTAACCTACTGAATTATTAATAACTGTTTGGCTAAGAATTTTCTATTTTTATAAAACAAGAAATACAGGCTGGAATGATTGTCACAGAACACATGTCTGATACAAACGCTCGCTCAACTTTACAGACTGTAAATTTTGTAAGCAAAGCAGTGACACGTGTTTAGATAAAGGTCCTTGGCTGTAGGTGACATTGGCGCCCCAATACTTCTTTCTCTGGAATAAAAGACAACAAGGATAAACACCGACAAGTGTCCATTTCTGGATTTGCTTCTACTCCGGTTAGAGCACGCATGTGATGGCCTTTGACTATTGTGGACCTGACAGAATCTAGAATTTCCCTGGAGACAGGACTCTGGGGTGTATGTCTTGCTTGCACTGACTGATGTAGAAAGAGCGGTCCACGTGGGTGGCCCAGCTTCCTGGCTGCACCTCGTGTAAGTAGAGAACGGGAGCTGAGTACCAGCATCCGCCTCCCTCTGTTTTCTGGCCTGGATTTGATGCAACCAACTGCGCCAAGACCCTGCTCCCTTGACATTCCTGCTGTATTGGGCTGTACCCTGGAACCGTGAG